ATTTAGGGAGGACCCCTCTGGGAAGGTGACATTTAAGCTTAGCTCTGAATGAAAAAAAAAAAAAAAAAAAGGCAGTCATGCAAAGATCAGGGGAGAGCACTCCAAGCAGAGGGAGCAGCTGATGAAAAGATGAACACAAAGGAGGCCACTGTGGCTACAGCATATTGGGCCGGATGAAGACTGCTGTAAATTGTTGGAAGCACTTCATGTAGATAAGAAAATCCTGAGTCCAGTGTGCTCAATCATTTGGTAAATACGGTGTCGCGATTATGACTGTAGTGGTTGTCAACAGCTAGAAGGCCTGGAGGGGAATCTTCCTGGGTGAGAAAGCAGGTGTAGGGGGGAGATATTTCAAATAGAGAAAATATAAAGCAGTTATGAGGCTGAAACCGTAGGCTAAGATTTATGGCCTGAAGACCTTGGTTTGACGAAAAGTATAGAAGAAAGACAGATTAGGTATCTGGGCTCAAGACCCTAACGATGCAGCTTCTGGAAGCTGGCTGAAAGATGTTCTAGGATGACCAAGACCTGTGTCTCTTAATAGTCTCTGGCTGAAGTCCAATCTGCAGTGTGTGATCTGGGCTTTTGGACTTAAAATAAATTAGACAAAGAGAGAGGAGAGTAGCAAAGGTTGAAGTGATGAAAGATGGTTGTTTGTTTGTTTGTTTGTTTTTTTAAGACAGGGTTTCACCATGTTGGTCAGGCTGGTCTTGAACTCCAGACCTCAGGTGATCTGCCCGCCTTGGCCTCCAAAGTGCTTGGATTACAGGCGTGAGCCACCACGCCCTGGAAGATGTTTTTGCCTCTAGGTTTGTGCTTCTCAGCAGCTGTCTCAGAATGTCTGTCTCCAAGCATCTCTCTTAGCGGCTCTCCACTTTCATCGCTCTGTGATCCTATCTGGCATCTCTCTTCCTATCTCGGCCTCAACATGTTTCTCTTTGCATGACTCTCTCTGTATCTCAGACTCCTCATCTTTGGATCTCCTTGTCTGAGTGTCCCAGAATCTGGTTCTGTCCATTTGTCTGTGCCTGTACTGTAATTCTCTTTCTCCAACTGAACTGTGCCCTCCTGGAAGGCATGAATCTTTTATTATTGCGCTGCTGCCCTGCACACAGTCTAGCATATAGGAGTCTCAAATGTATTCATACTTGAATGAAGGCTTTTTCAGGGGAGAAAGACACCCATTCTGAATATCCACGCCTCTTCCCCCACGCGGAGCAGGCCACTTGCCAAAAGGCCAGCTAGAGAGTAGGGCGAGGGTGTTGTGGTATTGTACTGCTGCTATTGGTCTTTTTCCCCAGTTGAAATAACTCTTTGGGGATACCTTAGCAGGTGGAATTCGCCGTCTAGCCAAGGTACTTAAGTACCAGGCCACGCCCCTACGTCTCGCGCGACAGACGTCCCGCCCCGTCGCCCAGCGGCTTCGCCTCGGCCAATCAGCGAGCACCTGCGCCTCCACGCAGTGGAGAGGCGGACGCAAAGATGGCTGCAGCGTGTCGGAGCGTGAAGGTAGATTCTTTTCCTCTGTTGCTTGCCCTTCTTCACGCGCGGGACAGTGCGGCCGTGGAACTAGGAGAAAGAGATCGGTTTCGGAGGAAAGGGTCATGTTTATGTAGGCCTGGCATTGTGGCGGTTGGGCTCAAGAGATGAAAGTCAGCACTCCACGGCATATGTGTATATATACTTGGGGTCACGGGACGGGCTGTCTGGGGATGCGATCCCCCCTGCCCTCGGGGTCCCAACGGTGAGGCGAAGCAGCACACCTGGTGTACCCGCAGGGGTGATCACTACCACTCTCCTCTCCCCTTCTCCGCAGAAGCCTGGAGAACAGGCAGGTGACAGCGTGGAGGTGGTTTGGGCAATGTAGCAGCTGACCCTGACTCTTTTGACAGGGCCTGGTGGCGGTAATAACCGGAGGAGCCTCGGGCCTGGGCCTGGCCACCGCGGAGCGACTAGTGGGGCAGGGAGCCTCGGCTGTGCTTCTGGACCTGCCCAACTCAGGTGGGGAGGCCCAGGCAAAGAAGTTAGGAAACAGCTGCGTTTTCGCCCCAACCGACGTAAGTGGGGTCACCTCTCCTCTCCCAGGGTGTGCATGAGGTCACCAGCACTGGCCTGGGAACCTGTGGGGGGTCTCTCCCATAAGGGTCTCCTCTATGAGGGCAGTGGATCCATCTCCTTGTCTCTTTTGCCCCAAGCCTTCAAGCACTGTGGGACCACCGATGATAAGGATTCTCTAAAGCTGGGATTCACAACAATGGGGATGGGGATTGGACATAATCCCTGGAGGGTTTATGCATAGTTTGAAAATGCATATTGTGCCCTGTAATTTTATGTTTACAAAGTCAAAAAACTTGTTTTCATGAAACAAACCTCAGAAAGTAAAACTTGATGAAATCAGCTTGGCAGGTAGGGATACAAAAAAAGTTTATCTTCCTATTTTTTTTTTTTTTTTTTTTTTTGAGACAGAGTTTCGCTCTTGTTACCCAGGCTGGAGTGCGATGGCGCGATCTCGGCTCACCGCAACCTCCGCCTCCTGGGTTCAGGCAATTCTCCTGCCTCCGCCTCCTGAGTAGCTAGGGTTACAGGCACGTGCCACCATGCCCAGCTAATTTTTTGTATTTTTAGTAGAGATGAGGTTTCACCATGTTTACCACGATGGTCTTGATCTCTTGACCTCGTGATCCACCCGCCTCGGCCTCCCAAATTGCTGGGATTACAGGCTTGAGCCACCGCGCCCGGCCTATCTTCTTCTTATGATTGTCACAACACGGTTATTTTTTATTTTTATTTGAGATGGAGTCTCGCTCTGTCGCTCACGCTGGAGTGCAGTGGCGCAATCTCAGCTCACTGCAACCTCCACCTTCCGAGTTCAAGCGATTTTCCTGCCTCAGGCTTGTGAGTAGCTGGAATAACAGGTGCTGTCACCACACCCAGCTAAATTTTTTTTTGTATTTTTAGAAGACACGGGGTTTTGCCATGTTGGCTAGGCTGGTCTGAAACTCCTGACCTCAGGTAATCGGACTGCCTCATCGGCCTCCCAAAGTGCTGGGATTACAGGTGTGAGCCACTGTGCCTGGCCTCACAACAGGGTTATATTAGTGCCCTGATCCATAGCAATTGAGAATCTCCAGGAGCATGTGCAGTTTTCAAGAGGGTATTGATTTGAAAATGTTTTGCAACTCTGCTCTATGTTACATAACATTTTCACCTTTGGCCTACTTAAGTGGTTTTTTTATTTTTATTTTTATTTTTATTATTTTTTTTTGAGACAGAGTCTCACTGTTGCCCAGGCTGGAGTGCAGTGGCACAATCTTGGCTCAGTAGTGCAACCTCTGCCTCCCGGGTTCAAGCAATTCTTCTGCCTCAGCCTCCCAAGTAGCTGGGATTACAGGCGTGTGCCACCATGACCGGCTAATTTTGTATTTTTTACCAAAGATGAGGTTTTGCCATGTTGGCCAGGCTGGTCTCGAACTCCTGATCTCAAGCGATCCACCTGCCTCGGCCTCCCAAAATGCTGGGATTACCGGCGTGAGCCACCGCGCCCAGCCTACTCTCTCAAGTTTTACCACAATCTTTCCTCTTGGCCTCTCCCTTGTTCTCATAATTCACTTCTCACCAAGGACAAGGTATGCCCTGCCCTCCCTCAGGTTTAGTGGGAGTGTGTATGCTGGGAGATGAATACCTTCTCCACTTCTCCCTTTAAAGGTGACCTCTGAGAAGGATGTGCAAACAGCTCTGGCTCTAGCAAAAGAAAAGTTTGGCCGTGTGGATGTAGCTGTCAACTGTGCAGGCATCGCAGTGGCTATCAAGACATACAACTTAAAGAAAAGCCAGGCCCATACCTTGGAAGATTTCCAGCGAGTTCTTAATGTAAGGCCTTTTAAGTTCTCCAGGGATAGTGGGAGTAAGAGGTATCTGGCTGTGAAGGACCCCAAAGATTTTAGGGAACAAAAGCTTCTTCTGCCTCAGGTCCTATACCGTGTCTCCACATGTCCTACAGGTGAATCTCATGGGCACTTTCAATGTGATCCGCCTGGTAGCTGGTGAGATGGGCCAGAATGAACCAGACCAGGGAGGCCAACGTGGGGTCATCATTAACACTGCCAGTGTGGCTGCCTTCGAGGGTCAGGTGTGTGGGCAGGGGTATGACGTATGCCTCCTCAGTGACTTATTGGGGGGCCCTCCCACCTATAATCTTACTTTTTCCAGGTTGGACAAGCTGCATACTCTGCTTCTAAGGGGGGAATAGTGGGCATGACACTGCCCATTGCTCGGGATCTGGCTCCCATAGGCATCCGGGTGATGACCATTGCTCCAGGTAGACATATCCCCTCTCTCCGTCACAACTGGGACTGGGTGGGATCCATGGGCAGTTGAGAGGGGAAGGTATCCATTACCTAAGCAACAGCAGCCTTTTATCTTTGGGCCCCAGGGAGGCACCAAGAAGTAGGGCGAAAGTGAGGAAGGACCAGGTAAATATGAAAGCAAGGGTGAGTCTCTGAATTTGGTTATCTTTTTTAGGTCTGTTTGGTACCCCACTGCTGATCACCCTCCCAGAGAAGGTACGCAACTTCTTGGCCAGCCAAGTACCCTTTCCTAACCGACTGGGTGACCCTGATGAGTATGCTCATCTGGTACAGGCCATCATCGAGAACCCATTCCTCAACGGAGAGGTTATCCGGCTGGATGGGGCCATTCGTATGCAGCCTTGAAGGGAAAAGGCAGAGAGAACACACACTCCTCTGCCCTTCCTTCCCCTGGGGTACTACTCTCCAGCTTGGGAGGAAGCCCAGTAGCCATTTTGTAACTGCCCATCAGTCGTCCTCTGTGCCTAATAAAGTCTCTTTTTCTCACAGATTGTAGGCAGTGTTGTGTGCTAGGGGCCCTGGCATGGGGAAGAAATGTGAAGGCTATGACAGGGTTGTATGCTCAGAGCTCCAGGGTAGAAGGGGGAAAGGGAGTACCTTCACACTTTTTGTGTCCTGTTACAACACGTGGACTTGATTTTGAGTGAAGAATTTTATTATCTAGATTAGAAGGTGGGAATATGCAGCATTTTTCTCTTTGACTCCTGACCACTTGTGAGCTTGATGGGCAAGAAGGGAGAGATAAACATCTGAACTTAGCGGCTGCTGGTGTTAAACTGTTGGTGATACTGGGCTGTAGGTTGATTGGTGTAGATGACTGAGTTCAGGTAATCCTGCCTGTGAAAGAAGTCCAGAGGCCTCAGCTGACATGTTTTCCCTCTTTCCTTGGTTCCTCACCATCCCTCCTCTCCCTCCCTTGGTATTTATCTCCACCACCACCACCTAGAACTCACTGGGCTTTTTGCTCCTGAGCCAGCTGCTGGTTGAAGGAGCCTAGGCCCCTCCGAAACTGAGCACACAATTCCCTCTCCTGCTCTTCTAGCTCCAGCATTGCCTCGGCTGAGCTTATTGTCTGGCTTTTCCATTCAGTATCCAATGCTTTTTCGGCCTGACGTTGTGCTTCCTTCTCAATGCGTTGTACTTCCTGCTCTTTCCTGATGGCAGCTCGCTGCTCTGGAGTCATGCCCTTCCAGCAATAGGGCAGGACCCGGTGGGGAGCTGTACGGTGTTGGGCGACCTGGGGGTTCTCAGTCAGTAGGTCACTCATGCTCTGGTTCTCGATCTCCGCAAGATTGGCCTTCTGTTCACGCTGACGCTCACAGCGCTGATGCCCATACTGTGAAGCTGCCTTGGGGAGCCCCCAAAAGCAAGCATTTGGGTGCCCAACCTCAGGGAACTCTGTCACAGGGGAGGGGAGAACATGGCCCTACTCTTCCATCTCAAGGAAAGAACGGATACTGCATGGCCTTTCAGTGACCCTAATGCATGTGTGGGGGAGAATGGGCAGGGAACTTCTCTGCCTTCAGGAAGCCTTTAGACTGAGAAGCTGAGGATGAGAGGGCAATGTTCTGTTCTCAAGTCATCTTGCTTCTGGAGGTGGGGAGAAGTGACTTGTGCCCTAAGAGGGGCCTTCGATGAAGGGGGAGTACTCAGATGCGAGGGCTGGTGCTGATTTGAGAGGGGATATAAGAGGAAGAATGTGGTTAAGGTTCCCCAGACTTTGTTCAGGAGTTGGGGAGGGCCTAGGGTACTAGATGGCCCGGGCCATACCTGCGCTTTGTTGGCGTTGGCCATGGCACACATCATGGCCACGCGACAGGACTCCTCCAGCCTGGCCAGATGGGTGGCCTGTGCGTCCATGGCGAGGCGCAGCTGGTCACTGAGCGCATCTACACAGAAATATGGCCAGGGTACTGTCTGGCTTGCTCCATTACTGTTTCACTTATCCAGCCATTTCTTCGGCAAATTTTTTGTTTCTGTGTGTACGTATGTTTAGGAGGGGGGTAGTGTCTGAGTTGTAGGGATGTGGAAGGAACAAGGGATGTGGAAGTAGTTCTGTCCACATCCCTTGGCTAGGAACAGCCAAGGTACAGCAACAAGGATTTCTCAAGTACATAACTAAAAGATGCCTCCAATGGACCTGGGTCCCAACGTCCGCTCTGCTGCTTCTGAGCTGTGTAGTTTTCGGTAAATCATTTCATATCTCTGAATCTCAGTCTAAGGGCCATGTGTTGGGTTCTAAGGATACCACTGAATTAAATCCTATCCTCAGAGAGGTCCCTGTCTAGCTGGGGACACAGATCAAGCCTAGATAATAAGACCAAAATCTGGCAAGAGCAATGGTAGGGATGTATATAAGGTATTAGGAGGGTTTTGGGTGGTGGAAGAGAAGGCGGCTTCCAGGAACAGGTGATCCTTGAAATACATTTTGTATACAGGCTAAAAAAGCAAAGGGCATTTCAGGTTGAGGGCATGGCATGAGCAAAGGCACTGACAATTTTTTTCTGCTCCAGCCACACTGAGCTTCTTGCTGTTCCTAAGACCTGACAGACACTGTACTATGCAACTGGGAGATGGGTAGACATGAAAGAGGTGGTTCATCTTTAGTAGGCTGAGATTTTAGGGAGAAGACATATTAAATACTTTTTTTTTTTTTTTTTTTGAGACAGAGTCTTGCTCTGTCTCCCAGGCTGGAGTGCAATGGCGTGATCTCAGCTCACTGCAACCTCCACCTCCTGGGTTCAAGCAATTCTCCTGCCTCAGCCTCCCGAACAGCTGGGACTACAGGTGCGTGCCACTGTACCAGCTAGTTTCTGTATTTTTATTAGAGACAGTGTTTCACCATGATGGCCAGGATGGTCTTGATCTCTTGACCTTGTGATCCACATACCTTGGCCTCCCAAAGTGCTGGGATTACAGGCATGAGCCACTGCACCTGGCCTAAACAAACACTTTCACAATTAGCTACAACTACAGTAAGTGGTCCAAGAGAGTGCTATAATAGGGTTGTAATTAGGTCTGTCTGCACTATGCTGCTTCCAGGTAATGGAGCACCAAGCTAATCAAGAACAATGCTACACTGTCATTACTGAAGGAAGTCAGGGAGGTTGGGGTCTGCACAACCTAACATTTCAGCACCAACCCTATGGATAATTGGACCTCCCCACACAGTTCTGGTTCCCTGGGTGCTGTACTCAGCTTAGGACAGATCCCCACTAGGCCTCAGGTCTCTGAGTCTGGAGGGCTGGGCTGCTTACCTGCACAATTCTCATCAACCTTGGCTTGCTGTTGCTCCTGCTGCTGCCTTTCCAAGTCGTACCTGAACTGCCTCTGCTGCATTCTCAGGTGTGTGACCCTGTCTAGGTCTTCCCCAGAGAAGTACTGCAGGCTGGAGGGACCATGATAGGTATTATTGTAACTAAGATAGGTCGGAAGCCCCTTCCAGACTTGGTCTGGATCCCAAAGACTAAATTCACGCCCGTTCTTGAGCTGCTGCTTCTGCTCCCGAAAATCCTGGACTTTCTTGGCCAGCCGACGTGTTCGTGCTGCCTCTTCCTTCTCTAACATCTGGACTACCACATCATACTGCACCTGGCTGGTACCTAGAGGTGGTGAGCAAGGATATGGAAAAGATACCCCAAGAGGGACAGAGTCCACTTAGCATGGCCTCTGCTCTCAAGATCCACCTGGTTTGTCCTACCACCCCAGGGCCTCAGGCTACACTCAGAGGCAGAACTGCCCTACTTCAGCCCACTCCAGCTCGCTCTTTACACCCTTGTCTGGCCCCTGGCTTTGCGCTTTTACCATAAGCTGCCTCCTTCCTTTTTTCTGCAGCTTCCCGACGCCTTCGCTCTGCCACCTGGTTGTTTAGGGCCTGGACATCCACCTGATCCCAAAGAAAGGAGCACAATCAGAGTAGGGGCCCAGCAGGGTGCCTTTAATGCCCTTCCACAAACTTAGAATTTACCTGTTTCAAAATCCTCCTGTAGCTCCCTAGTACCTACTGGATAAAGTTGTAGCTCCTGAGCATGGTTTGTAAGCCTCTCCATGGTCTAGCCCAGGCGTCCCCAAACTTTTTACACAGGGGGCCAGTTCACTGTCCCTCAGATCGTTGGAGGGCGGCCACATACTGTGCTCCTCTCACTGACCACCAATGAAAGAGGTGCCCCTTCCTGAAGTGCGGCGTGGGGCCGGATAAATGGCCTCAGGGGGCCGCAGTTTGGGGACGCCTGGTCTAGCCTCTGCCTCCTTCTCTGGCCTCATCTCTTAGTACCCTCCTCCCCTGTGCCACCCTTACCCTTATGAGCTGTGCTTACAGTTCCCTGCATATCTTAGGCTGTTTTGAACCAATAGCCTTTGCTCAAGCTGCTCCCTCCACTTGGAACACTTTCGTCCTCTCTTTACACAAACTCCAATTTGCCCTTCAAGACCAGCTCAGGCTTCACCTTCCTGACTCCTCAGGCAGGCTGTACTCCCATAGAATCTAGTACACACTGTCTACATTATAGTGAAGTTCACCTCTCTCTATTCTCTCCTGTGCCAGACTGTGAGCCCTTTCAGGGCAGAAACTGGGCCTTAGTCAGTTTTGTATCCCCACTGCCCAAAACAGTGCTTGGCACAGAGCAGGCCCCAAGGAAATGCTTGTCAGCTGGATCTCAATCAGACTGCTCATACCTTAGCCAACTACTTATGGCAGGCACTATGCACAGGTTTTCAGAGCTACCACTGTGTATTAATACTCACCTCACTTCCTTCAGACTCATTTTACAGAAGCGGAGCCTGGGGCTCAGAGAAGACAGGTGATTCATCCAAAGCCACACACGCAACAGTCAGCAGACCCGGCCTTGAATAGTTACAGTCTTTTCCAGAATACCATGCTGCATCCCCCATCTATCCACTCACCTAGCAATCTTTTGTTTGTTTCTAAACTGTCAATACTTTCTCTTTATTTTGATTGTAATTCATTCATTACATTTCAAAATCATACAAAAAGAAAAAAAATCATACACAAAGGAAAACAGTTTAGTGAGGATTAAGTATTCCTTCCATCTCTGTCTTTCAGCCTGGTTAACAGTTTCTTACATAGCCTTGCAGAGATAGTTTAGGTATATGCAGCAATTTTGAGACAGGGTCTCACTCTGTCACCCAGACTGGAGTGCAATGGTGCAATCTCGGCTCACTGCAACCTCCTCCTACTGGATTCAAGTGATTCTCGTGCCTCAGCCTCCCAAGTAGCTGGGATTACAGGCGTGCACCACCACGCCCAGCTAATTTTTGTATTTTCAGTAGAGACAGAGTTTCACTGTGTTGGCCAGGCTGGTCTCAAACTCCTGACCTCATGTGATCTGCCTGCCTTGGCCTCCCAAAGTGCTGGGATTACAGGTGTGAGCCACCGCACCCAGCCTCTAAATATTCTTTAGGCCTCTTTTAGCTCCATGTTGCCTGTCTCAGGAATGAGGTCCAGGAACATGGCCCAGAGCTGACTGGAGAAGGGTCAGCTGTCTCCCCTAGTCTCTTCCCCTGCACTGACCCATCCCTCTTCCTAAGCCCTTCCCAGGCCTGTAGGGGTGGGCCCCTTCTCTCCCTCTCCTTCCTTTCCCACCCTAGAGGCCTGCTTGGATCAGGGAAAGGGCTCTCATGGGCACTGCTACACATTCCTCTCCAGGTATAAAAGTGAGGTGGCCCAATCCTGAGCAACAGTCCCTACTACCCACTCACCCCCATAACTCGGTTCCGCACATTGAAGAATCGGTTTTGTCGCTCTTTTTCTCGATTTCTTTTAGCCTCGATGGCTGCCACTTCCCTGGGATCTGCTGACTGGTTTATGCTATACATCTGAAGCAAAAGGGAGGTAGAATGGCCCATCAGTGCTGACCACCATCTTTGACTACACGTCACCCCCATTCCTTTCTCCTTATAATATTTCAGCGGTTATTGATTCCTACTGATTTTACTTCATGATATATTTCTTTTTTTTTTTTTTTTGAGACGGAGTTTCGCTCTTGTTACCCAGGCTGGAGTGCAATGGCGCGATCTCGGCTCACGGCAACCTCCGCCTCCTGGGTTCAGGCAATTCTCCTGACTCAGCCTCCTGAGTAGCTGGGATTACAGGCACGCACCACCATGCCCAGCTAATTTTTTGTATTTTTAGTAGAGACGGGGTTTCACCATGTTGACCAGGATGGTCTCGATCTCTTGACCTCGTGATCCGCCCGCCTCAGCCTCCCAAAGTGCTGGGATTACAGGCTTGAGCCACCGCGCTCGGCTTCCATGATATATTTCATACCTGTGTTCTCCATCTCGGCTGCCACCAGCTTAACTCAGGCCTCACAGTCTGGTGTCAGGCAGTATCTCAGGAGCCTCACTGGGCTCTCTTGCTCCAATATTGCTCTTTCTGCACTGGATTTCTCTGCATTGGTTACCAGAGTGATCTTTGTGAAAGCAAATCTGACCATGGCACTCCTCAGCATAAAGCCTTTGAAAGCACCTTTAAAGCAAATGGCTCCCCAGTGCTTACAAGGTCCAACCCCCTTTGCCAGATTTATAAGGTTCTTCATGATCTGACCCCTGCTGACCTTCCTAAGCCTCAAACACATCTATAACACTCCTTTTTTCATTGTACTCTATGCAGTTTTCCTTTTTTTTTTTTTTTTTTTTTTTAAGAGACAGGGTCTCGCTATGTTGCCCAGGCTGGAGTGCAGTGACTATTCACAGGCGCGATCCCACTACTAATCAGTACAGGAGTTTTGACCTGCTCCATTTCCGACCTGGGCCGGTTCACCCCTCCTTAGGCAACCTGGTGGTTCCCGGCTCCCGGGAGTTCACCATCTTGATGCCGAACTTAGTGCGGACACCCGATCGGCATAATGCACTACAGCCCAGAACTCCTGGGCTCAAGCGATCCTCCTACCTCAGCCTACCGAGTAGCTGGGACTATAGGCACACGCCACCGTGCCTGGCAGTTTTCCTTATTTCAATAAATGGCACCCCTATTCACCAAGTTGCTCAGGCCAAAAACCTAGGAGACATCTTTTAATCCTTCCTTTTCTTCACTTCCTCTTTTCAAAATAACCCTGGTCTAAGCCACCTTCCTGAATAATCACAACTGTCTCCACATTGGCCTTCCAGCTTCCTATTGACTCCTATAGCCCAATCACAGAAAGCAGAAGCAGCTTTCTTTTCTGAAATATATGTCCCCCCTTATATTTATTTTTATTACTTATTTTCTGGTCAAATGAAAAGCTAGAAAGCTTAAATTTTCCTGTGTTCCTTCATATTTTGGGAAGCTCACTTTTGGCATGTAACCCAGCCAAAGCTGCAGCCAAAATCTTTAGCAAACATAAATCTGATCATGTCTCTCACCTGCTTAAATCCTCCACTAGTTTCCCACTGTACTTAGAATCAGATCCAAACTCCTTACTGTGGGCTTTCAAGATCTGGTTCCTGCATACCTCTCCAATTTGTCTCAAACCACCGTCTCTCGTGCTTACAGTGCTCCAGGCACACCGATCAAGTCCTCCAACACAGTAACTGTTCCCACGCCAGGGCCTTTGTATATGCTGTTCGTTTGTTTGGAGTATGATTCTTTAATTCCTCCAATAGCTCCTTTGGATCTTTTTGGTGTTTTCTATTTTGTAATTGTGAAGTAGTTGATACATACAGGAGAACATATATAACCCATATATGTAAGTTAGGATGCATGATAACATAGAGATCTGTGAACCAACTCCCCAGCTAAGAAACAGACTGAAGTGTCCTGGGTCTTTTCCCCTTCATCCTTACTCCAAGAGCACTCCACATACTATCCAAAATGTGTTACCATTCCCTCTCTCTCACATACTATGTTGCCCAGGCTGGTCCTGAACTCCTGGGCTCCAGTGATCCTCTTGCTTCACCCTCCTAAAGTGCCGAGATTACAGGTGTGAGCTACCGTGTCTGGCCTGACAAGAACATTTTTGATGGCGTTCTGGAGATGAAACCCTGATTGAGGTGGGCTCAAGAGAGACTAGGGCTGCAGGACAAACAACTCAGTTGATTTTTTTTTTTTTAAAAGACAGAAGGACCTATCAATTTTTAAAGATTTATATATACAGAGTGGGAATGTTTCTCTAGTATAGACCTAGGAGTGGAAGTGCTGGATCATAGGCTATGTGCATATTTAACTTTACAAGATAGTGCTACATTGTTTTCCAAAGAGATTGTGATTTACACTTTCGCAATAGTGTATAAAAATTCTAGTCATTCCACATTCTCACCAACACTTGGTATAACAGACTTTTACATTTTTGGCAATTTGTGGGTATAAAATTATAATTACTTGTTTAATTGGAATTTTCCTTATTGATAATAAAGTTCATGTGTTTTTTGACCATTTTTGTTTAATTCTCTTTGGACTGCCCATTCATATCTGCTCATTTTAAAAAATCAGGCTATCTTTATTTTTGAGACAGGGTCTCACTCTGTCACTCAGGTTGGAATGCAGTGGGACAATCTTGGCTCACTGCAACCTCCACCTCCTGGTCTCAAGTGATCCTCCCACCTCAGCCTACCGAGTAGCTGAGACTACAGGTGTGACTAATTTTTTTATTTTTTGTAGAGACAGGGTTTCTCCATGTTACCCAGGCTGGTCTTGAACTCCTGAGCTCAAGCAATCCTCCCACATCAGCCTCCCGAATTGCTGAGATTACAGGTGTGACCCTGTGACCCCCATGCCCAGCCAGGTTGTCCTTTTAAAATTAATTTAGGAGTTCCTTTAATATTCTACGCATTAACCATTTCTTCATTTAAGTGTGGCAAATATCTTCTCCAAATTTGTGACTTGATTTTTTTTTTTTTTTTTGAGACGGAGTTTCGCTCGTTACCCAGGCTGGAGTGCAATGGCACGATCTCGGCTCACCGCAACCTCCGCCTCCTGGGTTCAGGCAATTCTCCTGCCTCAGCCTCCTGAGTAGCTGGGATTATAGGCACGCGCCACCATGCCCAGCTAATTTTTTGTATTTTTAGTAGAGACGGGGTTTCACCATGTTGACCAGGTTGGTCTCGATCTCTTGACCTCGTAATCCACCCGCCTCGGCCTCCCAAAGTGCTGGGATTACAGGCTTGAGCCACCGCACCCGGCTGATTTTTTTTTTTTTTTTTTGAGACAGAGTCTTGCTCTGTTGCCCAGGTTGCAGTGGCTCAATCTCAGCTTACTGCAGCCTCTGCCTCTCGGGTTCAAGTGATTCTCCTGCCTCAGCCTCCTAAGTAGCTGGGACTATAGGCACACACCACCACATCCAGCTAATTTTTGTTTTTTTTTTTTGTTTTTTTTTTTTTTTTGAGACGGAGTTTCGCTCGTTACCCAGGCTGGAGTGCAATGGCGCAATCTTGGGTCACCGCAACCTCTGCCTCCTGGGTTCAGGCAATTCTCCTGCCTCAGCCTCCCGAGAAGCTGGGACTACAGGCACGCGCCACCACGCCCAGCTAATTTTTGTATTTTTAGTAGAGACAGGGTTTCACCATGTTGACCAGGATGGTCTCGATCTCTTGACCTCATGATCCACCCGTCTCGGCCTCCCAAAGTGCTGGGATTATAGGCGTGAGCCACCGCGCCAGGCCAATTTTTGTATTTTTAATAGGATGGAGTTTCACCATGGGGGTCAGGCTGGTCGGTCTCGAACTCCTGACCTCAAGTAATCTGCCTGCCTCAGCCTCCGAAAGTACTGGGATTATAGGTATGAGCCACCGTGCTGGCTGTCACTTGATTTTTACAGTAACAATTGACACATACAAAGGAATGTGGTTGGCTGGGCGAAGTGGCTCACACCTGTAATCCTAGCACTTTGGGAGGCCGAGGAGGGTGGATTGCCTGAGATCAGGAGTTCGAGACCAGCCTGGGCAACATGGTGAAACCCCGTCTGTACTAAAATACAAAAAATTAGCCGGGCATGGCAGTGTGCACCTGTAATCCCAGCTACTCGGGAAGCTGAGACAGGAAAATTGCTTGAACCTGAGAGGCGGAGGTTGCAGTGAGCCAAGATTGCAACACTACACTCCAGCCTGGGCGTCAGAGTTAGACTCCATCTCAAAAAACAAAACAAAACAAAAACAAAGGAATGTGATTGATACACATGTGAGTTATGAAGCACATTAACAAAATTAACACCTGTGAACTCTACACAAAACTCAGAAAATAGAACATTATCAATATTTTAGAAGCTTTCTGTGTGCACTTACTTATCTTTTCACTTTCTTTATGGTGAATTTGAATGTAGTCATACCTACCCAACTCTTCCTTTGAGCTTAGTAGTTATTACTTAAGAAATTCCTGGCCGGGCGCGGTGGCTCAAGCCTGTAATCCCAGCACTTTGGGAGGCCGAGGCGGGCAGATCACAAGGTCAAGAGATCGAGACCATCCTGGTCAACATGGTGAAACCCTGTCTCTACTAAAAATACAAAAAATTAGCTGGGCATGGTGGCGCATGCCTGTAATCCCAGCTACTCAGGAGGCTGAGGCGGGAGAATTGCCTGAACCCAGGGGGCGGAGGTTGCGGTGAGCCGAGATTGCGCCATTGCACTCCAGCCTGGGTAACAAGAGCGAAACTCCGTCTCAAAAAAAAAAAAAAAAAAAAAAGAAAAGAAAAGAAATTCCTATCCTGAGGTTGTAAAGATATTCTCCTATATATTCTTCTAAAATTTCTAAAGTTTTGCCTTTCTCATTTTTTTTTTTTTTTTTTTTTGAGATGGAGTCTCAATCTGTCCCCCAGGCTGGAGTGCAGTGGCATGATCTCAGCTCACTGCAACTTCCACCTCCCGGTTCAAGCGATTCTCCAGCCTCCTGAGTAGCTGGATTACAGGCGTACGCCACCATGCCCGGCTAATGTTTGTATTTTTAGTAGAGATAGGGTTTCACCATGTTGGTCAGGGTGGTCTCGACCTCCTGACCTCGGGATCCACCTGCCTTGGCCTCCCAAATTGCTGGGATTACAGGCGTGAGCTACTGCACCCGGCCTCATTTAGGTTTTTAATCTACTTGGAATTGCACTTTGTGTATAGTGTGATATAAGGATCCAATTTAATTTCCCCCCAAGTGCCATCTCATCTTTTTTTTATTTAAAAACTTATTTTAAATTTGTTTTAGATGGGGTCTCTCTCTGTTGCCCAGGCTGGAGTGCAGTGGTGTAATCATGGCTCACTGCAGCCTTGAACTCGTGGACTCAGAGGATCTTCCTGCCCCAGCCTCCTGAGTAGCTGGGACTACAGGTGTGTGCCACCATGCCTGGCTAATTTTCAAAACTTTTTTGTAGAGATGGGGTTTTGCTAGGTTACCCAGGCTCACCATCTCATCTTTCAAAAGAGAACAGTATTTCCCCATGGATGATATGAGACTGTTGTCCGTTAGCCCCTTTATCCCCTCAGGCTGATTGTTTCTCCCAGCTGAACTTCATTTATGGCTCCCCTACTAGATTTCATCTACCAAGCTTCCTCCCTTTAATTATTTTTGAGACAGGGTATTGCTCTGTTAACCAGGTGGGAGTGCAGTGGTGTGATCACTGCTCACTATAGCCTCAACCTCGCAGGCTCAAGCGATCCTTCTGCTTCCACTCCTGGGTAGACCACAGGTGAGAGCTGCTATGCTCAGCTAATTTTTAAATTTTTAGTTGAGATAGGGTCTCACTACGTTGCCCAGGCTGGCCTTGAACTGCTGGACTCAAGTGATCCTCCTGCCTTGGCCTGCCTCCCTCACCCTGGGATTACAGGCGTGAGCCACCATGCCCAGCCATTTTCTCACTTCCCTAGACTTGTCCTAAGTCTTTAGGACTCTTTCTATCCTTCAGACATAATATAAAAAAATAGTTGGGACAGGTGCGGTGGCTCACACTTGTAATCGCAGCACTTTCAAAGGCCGAGGCAGGCGGGTCACGACGTCAGGAGTTCAAGACCAGCCTGGCCAACATAATGAAACCCTGTCTCTACTAAAAATACAAACAATTAGCTGGGTGTGGTGGCACGCACCTGTAGTCCCAGCTATTTGAGAGGCTGAGGCAAAAGAATTGCTTGAACCTGGGGGGCGGAGGTTGCACTGAGCCAAGATTGTGACATTGCACTTCAGCCTGGGCGACAGAGTGAGACTCTGTCTCAAAAAAAAAAAAAAAAAAAAGTTACAGTAATGATTATGGCAACCACCAGATCCTTTCCATGTTTAAATCTGAGAATGGCACCAACTTACCTACGGTTCCACCTGCCACCACAGTATAAGGTCACTGAAGGGGAAGATTCAGCAGACATTTTAAGCTTCTTGGATTGCTAAGGCCCTGGCCTTAGTAACGATAGAGAGCAGAGACGGAAGAGAGGTAAGACAGCAGAGTGGTATAGAGCTGTGGAACTGGGATGGGGGAGAGGCACGGAGAGGTAGATGGAGGTCAAGAGCACTGGCTTAGGGACCCTGACTCCTGGGGGTTCACACGAAATACCTTTCTCAGTAAGGAATCCCGATTTTGAAGCTCCTAGGCTGGCTCTGCGCAACTTTGTTCTTGGGTTACGGCGGCAGTTTCTGAACTCTGCTTGGTAGAACCGCAGGGAGGCAGGGGGTAGGGGTAGTATCTCAGGCCATAGCCTTCCCCATCCTGTATCCCTGTTGCCTGGGAGTACCCCAGCCCTATTCACACCCCATCCATCTTCGCATCCCGTCCCGCCTCCAATCCCACTCCACCATTAGCAAAGCCTAAGCTCACTTAACACTGAATCCTCCGTTGGCCCCTCCTTCCCGTCCAGCCCTTTTTTCTCCCAGGGTCCTTTCAACTCCCGACTCTGTCCTTGACCCAGCCTTTTAGTCTGGGCCAGGCTAAAGCCACAGCCGAGCTCCCACCTTCCTCTTGCCCTGAGGGGCATAATCGTGCTGTGACTTAGGTCTCAGCAAGCGTGGGACCAGGTCTTCCCCGCCTCCCTGAACCTCAAGAGCTGCTCTGACTCCGCCCAGCACCAACTCCTTTGGGGACCCCTTCCGCAGTACAATTGTTTGTTGTTGCCATGCAACAAGGGAGCGCGGCCACCACACCAATTGTCAGTTCGCGCCTCAGAAACGCAACAATAAAACCTCGGCGTCAGAACGTAGTTCCCGCCCCTGGTGCCACTCCTGCCGGAAGCCGAAAATCACGTTTGGCCTGAACATAATATCGCGAGATTTGCCGGCCGCCCGGCCTGCACTGCGGCGTTTCCCGCGCGGACTACATCAGTTCCCGGTCGTACGGCGCGGCCTGTCGTACTGCCGCCGGCGCCACGGCCGTCATGGGGTTCCTGAAACTGATTGAGATCGAGAACTTTAAGTCGTACAAGGGTCGACAGATTATCGGACCATTTCAGAGGTTCACCGCCATCATTGGACCAAATGGCTCTGGTGAGATAAACCTGGCTGCGGCCCTCCTTACGTCCCGGCCTGGACCCCCTATCCGGTGCTGGAGTAGTGCAACTTGGCCCATGTAACCTGAAACGTCGAGGACCCTACGGGTTCCTTGCCCCTCCACAGGGGGTTCTGCTGGAACCCGCTGTCCCCGCGCGGCTGCTCTAACTCGAACCCCTTCCAGGTGTCACTTGCGGCTTCCTGCGCGGCCCCCGCCCTGGCCGAGTGGTACTGGCCGAGCTGCCCGTTACTCCGCCCACTTCCCCCTCCCGCCAAAGGAGGCGCGTCCGGAGCCAGCTGCCCGCCAGCTGCCAGTCCCCCGCCACGCGGCTCCCTGCCGGATCGGCCCCAGCCAGCTTCCCAGCCTTATTTGACCCTCTCCGGAAAATGTGGGGACAGGTCGTAGTTCTCCTGTGGCCTCCAGTCCCAAACGGTGCACTTCTGTTTTAGCCCAGCGTCCCCTTCTGCCTTGCATTGGTATACTCCAACTCTTTCCTTTTTACTCCTCTCCCAAGGCGCCACTTTTGAATTTCAGACCCAGCGCTCTGGTCTTTAGAGTGCTTGAGGTCTCGATCCCTACCCCCAACCGCTATATTAAAGGTAGTTGCCTCGAACTCGCCCCACCGAAACCGTCAAAAGCCGAAACTCATTGTTTTACTAAATTTGTTGAATGCTTATTGTTTATCGGGAGTTTTTCAATTTCAAGTTGTGGAGACAGCGGAGAATAGAATAAACCCAAGTCCATGCTCACAGGGAGCTTATATTCCAGAGGGGAAAGAAGTTAAAGAAGGAGAAAATAAGATGGTTTTAGGCTGTCGTAAGTGCTATGCAGGAAATGAGACAGGTGGATGTAATAAAGTGACTTGGGTGTTGTCTTTAGAAAGTGTGGTCAGGTAGGGCCGGGCGCGGCGGCTCACGCCTGTAATCCCAGCACTTTGGGAGGCCGAGGCGGATGGATCACGAGGTCAAGAGATCGAGACCATCCTGGTCAACATGGGGAAACCCCGTCTCTACTAAAAATACAAAAAATTAGCTGGGCATGGTGGCGCGTGCCTGTAATCCCAGCTACTCAGGAGGCCGAGGCAGGAGAATTGCCTGAACCCAGGAGGCGGAGGTTGCGGTGAGCCGAGGTCGTGTCATTGCACTCCAGCCTGGGTAACAAGAGTGAAACTCCGTCTAAAAAAAAAAAGTAAAGAAAGAGTGGTTAGGTAAAGCCTCTGTTTTGTATCTTCCTATCTCCAAACGATACATCATGGATTTCTCTTATCTCAGATGTTCATTTGGAATCTTGCTGTAGTCTTCCACCCCAGAGATGTTCTAGCTGAATCATAGCATAAGAGGCTGCCCTTGCTGAAGTAGCACATACTGAGTACCTTCCCTGGCGTCTCAATGTCTCAACAGTGGCACTGTTGACATTTTCAGCGAGATAGTCCTTTGCTGTGGGACATGCCCTGTGCATTGCAGATGTTTAACAGTATCCCTGGCGTCTACCTGCTAGATGACAGTAGCACTCCTACTCCCCCGGCATGACAATCACAACTGTCTCCAGACGTTGCCAAATGTCGCAGGGAATGAATGTGACTCCCCCTAACCCCCAATTTGTTTGAGAACCACTGGCCTGGAGGATTAATGCTTGGTGACCACCCAGTTTCCTAGGGTTTTGGTGTAGTGGCCCCTGTTGAAAGAGCTAGGATGTACCTCTTGGCATTCAGTCACCTCAGCATTAGATTTGTATTCTCAGCTGTTCTGAAAAGGGCCGTGCCTGCCCCTGATTTTCAAGGTCCACCTCTACAAGGCATTCCTTTAGTCCAGGTGTCCCCAAACTTTTTACACAGGGGGCCAGTTCACTGTCCCTCAGACCGTTGGAGGGCCGCCACATACTGTGCTCCTCTCACTGACCACCAATGAAAGAGGTGCCCCTTCCTGAAGTGCGGCGGGGGACCGGATAAATGGCCTCAGGGGCCGCAGTTTGGGGACGCCTGCTTTAGTCCCTTTGCTGAATTACTCTTCCTCTGTGGCATACCGTAGACACTTGGCACACATTAATGTTTTAAGTCCTGTATTGATAGTGTCTGTTTTCATATCTTAATTGGTCTGTGAGTACCGTAAAGCAGACATTCCTTGAAAAGTTTTACTGGTGTTCAGTCCATAATATATATTAGAAAAATGTTTACAAGATTGATTGTGATTAGAGAGGCCTGTGGTTGTGAGATGTTTTTGTCATCCCTGGAAATGATGGGAGAAGCCTAAAGGTTGGATATTAGTTCCTAAAAGGCTGACTCAGGCGTCCCCAAACTGCGGACCTCTGAGGCCATTTATCCAGCCCTTCCCTCCCCCCCCACCGCCGAACTTCAGGAAGGGGCACCTCTTTCATTGGTGGTCAGTGAGAGGAGCACAGTATGTGACGGCCCTCCAACGGTCTGAGGGACAGTGAACTGGCCCCCTGTGTAAAAAGTTTGGGGATGCCTGGGCTGACTCCTGGTCTGCATGATGTTCTAGTCCTGCTGTGATGAGGGAGACAAGAACTGAGTCCAGACTTGTGTTAGGATAGGACTCATTAATTAATTACCTACTGTGTGTGTCAAGTACTTTATTTTTTTGGTACCTGTTTCTTTTTTTTTTTTCTTGAGATAGTCTCTCGTTCTCTTGTCCAGGCTGGAGTGCAGTGGCATGATCTTGGCTCACTGCAACCTCTGCCTCTTGGGTTCAAGGATTCTCGTGCCTCAGCCTCCCAAATAGCTGGGACTACAGGTGTGCACCACCACACCTGGGTAGTTTTTGTATTTTTAGTAGAGATGGTGTTTTGCCTTGTTGGCCAGGGTGGTCTCAAACTCCTGGGCTCAAGTGATCTGCCGGGCTCGAGTGATCTGCCCGCCTCAGCCTCCCAAAGTGCTGGGATTACAGGCATGAGCCACTGTGCCCAGCCAAGGGACCCTTTACATTTAAATTCTCAAAATGACCCTAGGAGGGAAATGCCAATAGCTTTGTTTTATACGTGAGGAGACTTCGGCACAGAGGTGTGATAACTTGTCCGTGGTTCTCAGAACCCATGCCTGTGCTCCTGCCATTCCAACAGATGTATGTGCCACACATATTTTTAGACCTGTGAGTTGTGGTTTTTTCATTTTTTTCCAGGTGAAGGAATGGAAGGTCAGCTAAGAAGTAGTGAAAGTAAAATTAGAATCTGATCTGTTGGTTTTTTTTTTTTTTTGGAGATGGAGTCTCATTCTGTGGTCCACGCTGGAGTGCAGTGGTGGGATTTTGGCTTACTGCAGCCTCTGCCTCCCAGGTTCAAGCTATTCTTCTGCCTCAGCCTCTCAAGTAGCTGGGATCACAGGTGTGTACCACCACCCTGGCTAATTTTTGTATTTTGGTGGCAATAGGGTTTCACCATGTTGGCCAGGCTGGTCTTGGACTCCTGACCTCAAGTGATCCACCCACTTCAGCCTCCCAAAGTACTGAGATTATAGTCGTCGTCGTGAGCCACCTCACCCGGCCTTTTTTTTTTTTTTTTGAGTCAGCGTCTCGCTCTGTCATTAAGGCTGGAGTATAGTGGCACAATCATGGCTCATTGCAGTCTCAACTTCCTGGGATCAAGCAACCCTCCCACCTCAGCCTCTGGAGTAGCCAGGACAACTGGAGTGTGCCACCATGCCCAGTTAATTTTTGTATTTTTTGTAGGGACAGGATTTTGCCTTGTTGCCCAGGCTGGTCTCAAACTTCTGAGATGAGTGATCTGCCCACTTCTGCTTCCCAAAGTGCTGGGATTACAGGAGTGAGATACCGTGCTCAACCTAGTCATGGTCTTATACCATCTCCATGGAAGGACTTGGGCTGCTTTTTTATGGCTGAGTAGAAAGGTGTTGGAAATCAGATCTTCAGTTTGAAGTCATATATAAGTTGTTTAGGGAGAATCTTGAGATAGAAATTATAGAGACTAAACTGTTCCTCCCTGTCCACCAGCCCATCTAAACTTTTTTTTTTCTTTTTCTTTTTTTTTTTTTTGAGACGGAGTTTCGCTCTTGTTACCCAGGCTGGAGTGCAATGGCGCAATCTCGGCTCACCGCAACCTCCGCCTCCTGGGCTAAGGCAATTCTCCTGCCTCAGCCTCCTAAGTAGCTGGGATTACAGGCACACGCCACCATGCCCAGCTAATTTTTTGCACCTTTAGTAGAGACGGGGTTTCACCATGTTGACCAGGATGGTCTCGATCTCTCGACCTCGTGATCCACCCGCCTTGGCCTCCCAAAGTGCTGGGATTACAGGCTTGAGCCACCGCGCCCGGCCTTTTTTCTTTTCTTTTCTTTTTTTTTTTTTTTTTGAGACAGTCTCCCTCCCTCTGTTGCCCAGGCTGGAATGCAGTGGCGTAATCTCGTCTCACTGTTTAACTTCCACCTTCTGGGTTTAAGTGATTCTCGTGCCTGAGCCTCCCGAGTAGCTGGGATTACAGGCACACACCACCTTGCCTGGCTAATTTTTTATTTTTAGTAGAGATGGGGTTTCACCATGTTGGCCAGGTTGCTCTCAAACTTTTGACCTCAGGTGATCCGCCTACTTCGGCCTTCCCCAGTG